AATTATTATTTAATTTGGTTATTTAACATTTTTAGAAGAGAGTGAAGTAGCACCAACAAAAGATGCAGATGTTGATGTTGTGACAGAGCTAGCGGCAGTGGAACCAACTACCGTAGAAGGTAAGAACAACAAAGCTGAGTTAAGCATTCACTCTGAGATTCAGATTCAATAGAAAATGTATGATAAGACAGTCTTGTTCAGAGTTCCAGTAGCCATGGTATGAAACACAATGTTTTGATTAAGTATCTATGAAAGCTTACATTGTCAGGACATTCAGTCAACTAATCAACCTTGATCGATCATTTAATCAATCAATAATCAATCCATCAAATAATGCAAACAATCAATCAGTCAGTTGACCAAAATCTCTCCTTTTAGAGTAATTATTGCAAGCTGATTACTTTATTGTTATCACAATAATTTTATATGCTTTACAGTAAATTGACTTTCTTTGTCTGTCTCTTAAACATTCATTGTTTGATACCTAATTACCTGTAAAATCGGATAAATGTGGTGCTTTTCATTTTTAATATGATTTACAGTTAATTAACTTTATTTTTTTCTTAAACATTATTTGTTTCATTCCTAATTAGAATCGGATAAATGTGGCATCATTATCTGTTATGTGTATTGTGAAGCTGGATATGTCAAAGATGAGAACGGTTGCCACACCTGTACTTGTATACCAGGTAAAAACGTACATTAACTGACGTAAACAATTTCAGTTCTCTTCTTACATCTCTTGTGCGTAATGTAAACCAAGTAAAAACGTACATTAACTTAAGTATATATCTCATGTTCCCCTCCCATCTTCATATTCATAGTTGAGTAATTTTGTTTTAAAAGAATACATCTGTACAGGTATAGTACTTAAACCGTTTGTTGCTCCACCAACTGAAATATGGGGCCATATTGTTTTATTTCTTTGGATTTTCTAACTTGGAAACATTTTTATCAAAGTATGCTGTCATACGAAATGAATCATGTAAAACAGGGGAAATTTAAATATTTTAAATATTTAATTTGGTTATTTAACATTTTTAGAGAGTGAAGTAGCGCCAACAAAAGATGCAGATGTTGAAGTTGTGACAGAGCTAGCGGCAGTGGAACCAACTACTGTAGAAGGTAAGAACAACATAGCTGAGTAAAGCATTTATTCTGAGATTCAGATTCAATAGAAAATGTATAAGACAGTCTTGTTCAGAGTTCCAATAGCCATAGAATGAAACACGATATTTTGATCAATTGTGTATGAAAGTTTACACTATCAGGACATAGAGTCGACCAATAAATCTATCGATCGATCGATCAATTGATCGATTATCTATCAATCAATCAATTAATAATCAATCTGCCAAATAATGCAACCAATTAATTTATCAATCAATGATTATTGCAAGCAGATTAATTTATTGTTATCACAATTATCATAGGCAAGACTCTTTTTATTCCTTGTTTTGCATACTTATTATCGGAGGAGGGCAGAATAAAAATAAAAAAATTTTTTCTTATTTGGCAAATAGTTTTGCCAATATCATCCAGACAGAAGAGAAAATTTTAAAAAAAAATTATTGGTGAATGTAAAATAGGATGTTCAAATGCTTCAAATTTATATAATTATGAAGAAATATACATATCTTATCTTTAGAGATTTCAAGGCAGTGGAGGGCGTAATAAAAATAAGAAAAACTATCATTTTTTTTCTGAAATTTCCACTTTTCCGTGATGGCGGGTGCTCTAATTGGCCAAAAATAAAACTTTATTTTAATTTGAAATCATCAATATTTGCATTCAGCAGGTTCGCTAAACAAGGTATAAAAAAAGTCTTTCCTTATATATGCTTTACAATAAATTGAGGTTCTTTGTCGTCTCTTAAACATTAATTGTTTAATTCCTAATTACCTGTAGAATCGGATAAATGTGGCACGTTTGTCTGCTATTTGTATTGTCCAGCTGGATATGTCAAAGATGAGAATGGTTGCTACACCTGTAATTGTACACAAGGTACGAACATAGATTAACTTGCAAAGAATATATTTTGTTTACATTTTCTGTTTTTGCATCTCCCATGCTTGAACCAAACAAAAATATACATTATAAATATAAAT